TATTTGTGCGCTACGTTAAAGAGGTTGAGGTAATGGAAGAATTGTCAACAACTGCAAAGGCAATGGATGTGAAAAAAATGTTAGATTGTTTAAGAGGTTTGCTCAACGGAGACGGACCACATCTCACAGCCACACATTGCACAGACACGCACTCGTATTAAAAACGCTGCTTCAATTGTTTGCTGAAACTCTAGAATGATTGGGAACCAAAATGGCACCTAAATATGCTAACAGATTCTCAACTGTTAGTTACTCTCAAAGTCGTTGTCGAAACAGTTAACTTTGTGCGAGGTCATGCAGTTATGCAAAGAAATGGATTTTCAATTCAAAGTTCTTCTTTACCACTCAGAACGACGTTGGCTATCCCGAGAGTAAGTGACGAGTCGCGTTTTTGCTATGCGCAAAAAAAAGTTTCTGCAAGATCACAACCATCGTCATTCGAAAACGTTTGAGGAGACTAGTTTTGTTCATGCTCTGGCCAAAAATTGCAACTTTGGTGGCCATGAGTGTTAAACAACAACTTCCGCCAACTTTCCACTTCTGGATGAGGTCATAAGCACCAATACTGCAAAGAATGGGTAGCGTTTTGCAAACAAGTTGAAGCAAAGGCAATGGTATTTGATATTGCTGCTCAAACCCTGAGCCAGTCGTGTGTTGCAGACGCAATGGAATACTCGGATGAGGTGCTGAAATTCAAGCAGTTCAGTGGAAGTCAAGCATCACAGTTTTTGATGTGCTAAATTCCAGAAATCCTTTCGCTAAAGGATTCAGGCAGCTAATAGGGCCTTCAAATATTTATATTTGGGAACCATTCATATATCAGAGAGTGACTGAGTCAGTACATTGCCCAATTAAAGATTCTTAGGGAAGACCCATCTTGATATGAAAAAAAAAAAACTGGCTTCATTGGTTTTTTTGTTGTCTGTTTCTAGCGCAAAAAACGTGTACACGAATTTGGTCTTTCGAAAATCCTAAAATATCTTTTAATGTAAAAATTGTGTCAAGATCATTTGGAACTTTTTTCTGTGCTGTGAGAGGTTTTGGGGAATTTAATAACCCAGCTGTTCACTTCTGATTATAAACAAATGCTCATGATAAATGGGGGAAAAGGTACAGGAGGAAACTGTGAGCCCCAGGATGCAACAAGCATTTTGAAGAGCTTCAGACTGACTAATCATAACATCAACATGAGTTTAAACTCAGTATCTTTTACGAAAAAATATGACCTTGAACCATGACTCTGCTGACATACCGTACCTAACACAGTCAGGTTGTCAGAATACAGGTACCAATTATTAAAATAAATTGCAGGACTTGTTGGCTTCCAGAAGCCATTTTCTACATAAATTTCAGAGGCTCAGGTGTCATCCACTGCTGCCGTTAGACTTACCAATGCCATCATGATTGCTTTGCAAGATAGTTGAATCCAGTGGTCCCAAACTTGGTTGACCTGGCCAGAGTTAGTTAGAAGCAAAGGATATTTCGGTCCGAAGCTGATACGTATTGTTGATATAACAGTATACTGTAACTGAATTGTTACGAATATACACGCTTAAACTGATGGTGACGTAATAAGTAGCGGTATCCAGAACGCAAAAAGGTAAGAACATGAAGTGTTCAACTATTTTCCTTTCGGTGGGCCGTATTAAATCGTTACGTGGCCGCATTTTGGGAAACACTTGTTTATTAAACGATAAGCTTATCAGCGGTGTCAACTATTCATCTGAGTGTGATGGAAACGGCTAGACAAATGAATCCAATCCCAAATTTGTTGCTTGTCCCATCGAGATGGGTGTGTTTGGTACAGAAGAAATAGACCTATTAGGTGCTTTGTGAGTGTCTCGCTTGATTTTTAGTTTACAATGATCATATATGTAAAAAGCACTTCTCTCTGTAATTCACTACGTGGAACATCCATTATTGATGTGATCGATTTTTCGTCTAGGTTATTTATCAACTCATTCTGCTACCCTTTTAGGTAGGTAAAAAGTTAGTCTAGAACAGCGGTTATCAACCGGGGGCCCTCGGCCCCCTAAGGGGGCCACAGAGGAGTTGGAGGGGGCTACAAGGATGGGCTGAAATCTGAATTTACTTTTCACTTTAAAAGAAATCTCACAGTTTTTCCTAGTTTGCTGCTCAACAAGGTTATTTCGCAGGGTGTTTTCGCTCTCTTTTGTGCAAATTGTTTTAACATAATGGGATTTGGAATCTATCAATAAAAATAACCCTATTAATACTTCTGGAATATTAAAGTGGGAGCCATGAGTGCTAAAAGCCTCCGAAAAGGGGCCACGAGTCATAGAAGGTTGAGAACCACTGGTCTAGAAATTCATTCACAAATCAGAAGGGCTAACCTGTCTGAATGTCTACAACCGGCAAATCGTTATTGATATCACGTCTTCGTTCCCCATATAATGCTTATCATATCTCCCACCATAACATCTTTTACTGATTTCGTATATTGTAATTTTTCCCGATATTTTGATGCATTACCCGAAATTGGCAGCCTATGTTTTTGTACCTTGCTTTTCTGAGCCTTCTGCCAATGGATTGACTTCCTGAAAAGTTCTTGTTAAATTTGTTGATCAACTGATCTGTCAAAGATCCATACCCAGATCCAATTTTTTCACCACCACCATATCAATGGAAGACCTAGAATATCTTTTTAGATTAAAAATCCTATTAGTTCTATATTTTTACTGCTTGATTTTTTCGTATATTTAAAAACACGTTCATGACAATCTGAATCATTTCCATCCTGTCTTCTGGAGATGGCCTTAGTCTCTCATTGCATCTCCACACAATTAAATTTTGTGGACACTCCTGCCATGGACTATTACAGGTATACGACCATTGATAAGCTGCTTTCGTTTGAGTGCAAATGATATGGCACACTGCTATTTGTAGTAATTGACGAGGAAGTGGATGAAGCTTATCCAAACCCCATCAAATCGCCATTAGTCGACTGTTTCCACTTTTTCCGCACCCTAATAGTTTTCGCGCAGAGACAGGCTTCATTATTTTTATTAGATCAGCTTCAGTAACATAACTGAAAACTTGCGGAAAATCTTCGAGTTCTTCTTGTGAGAAATTCGGAAACAAAGACGCCAAAGATGTTGATAAAAACCGCTGACGTTTTGCATGCAATAATAGTAATTTATGGAAAAATGCCAAGATATAATCCACTCGTTAATGCAATGTAAATACGCCCATTTCTCTGGAAAACAAGGTTTCACAGAATAAAAAAAGACACACAGTGACTGAACAATTTATTCTATGGCCGTGTCGTAGATGAATTTTCACATGCTTGACAATAACGTTAGAAGTTTGAAAAATTTTTTGACAAGTTGTTAATGAACATTTTAAATCCATATTTGGAGCAATTACATATAACGTTAGGCCTATAAGCATGGTTACCATCTACCTAGAGCCAAAAATAAGCACGAGTGTGAAAGGTTATTTTGGGAGGTACTTAACAACGGCAGGAACGCAGAATTAAAATGACAAAGGAATCATACCCTTACTTAGTATCTTCTAGTCTCTTTCGCACTATAATTTTGTATCCACTCAAAATTTTTTTTGATTACAAATCGCTTCGAACAAGGTTGCATATGCAGCTCCGTAATCGCAAAAGGCCATGGAAAGACACAAAAAGCGCCACAACCTCCCAACTATTAACATTCGAGACAAAGGTGCTAAAAATAACGTCCAGGGGGTCATTGCCGACTACCTTCTTGAACTGTATGGACGTGTGTGACTAATTTGTTATTTTATAATTTCTGTTCAATTTTGCCTTGTGATAGTTGAATAAATATTATAGTTTCTCTAATATTTTATTTGTTAAATTCTCCGAAGCTGATGCGAATGCAAGCCTATCCTTTTCACATTCTTCCCGAAATACTCTCAAGATAATTCAGTTCTGGAATCTGAAAGTTATAAAATAAAACATCAGTACAGCAATGATGCGCCATCAGCCAGTAATTCTTACCGTATATATCTAGGTTCCACTAACCGTAATTTTCCCTGCTACTCTTTCTTCTGCCTTGAAGTTGGTGGAGCATGACTGATACTTTCATCAACTGAAGATAAAGCATATTACAACAATTTATAAATACATTGCCTCAAACCGTAATTTGATTTGGAGACGCTATTCATAAATCTAAAAAATTATAAATGACTCTTCGACAAACCTTGAGGCAGTTCCTGTTGCATGCAACTCGCCTTCCGACTTAGCAAGAGGCTGCAATTCGGATTATCAACTAAAAATAATGTATTAGGTGAAAAAGTGTTTGATGATGCCACCAACCCTCCCACCAATTTCATTGCATAATATCCTGTACTGACCCTCTATTTCAGTCACAAACTGAGTGAAGATTGCGTCGAAACTATGGCCTTGCACGCTTGACGGCTCACTGGTATCAACACCAATCATGGAGGCCAAAGCCTGAAAACATAAATAAATGATTATTCAAATATCAATCACGGCGATAAAAAAATTGAGTAGAAGCAAATAATAAAAAAGTGTGAAACATAAGAATCATAAAATTACAAAACTTGCTAGCTTCAAAATCATTTAACCACTCACACCGCTCACCTGCACTCTTGGTCTAGAGCAGGGGTGTGCAACCTATTTTACAGGCGGGCCAAAATAAAAACCTGGGTAAAACCGCGGGCCGCACCTTTATGCAACATAGGCGCTCTAGTAGTTACTAGTTAGATACTAATAATAGTTTATTTTTGTTTTTAATTTATTCACACGACTTTAAATGAATTCGGTGAGCAATTTGCAACTGGTTTCTTTTCCTGACGATTTTTTCAAATTTGCTTTAATCGAAGTGCTGGCAATTCTAAGCCCATTTTCCAAATGTTCGTCTGTTTGAACCGATCTAAAGGGGGGATTTCATGACGCCCATTTTAGAAAAAAATTGTTCGCACAAATACGTTGAACCGAAAAGTGCCATTTTTGAAGCCATGAATTTTTTAAAATGTGGAAAGTTATCCTAGTTGAGATGTTTTCGGTAAAAATCTCCCAGATTCATTTGCAAATATTTTGCTTTCAAATCTGTCTTCTCTTGGAAATCAATCAGTTCCAATTGGATATCAGCTGGTGCTTTGACAACGTCTGCGTTGAATGGCGGAGAGAATATATCAAACAAATGTTCATGAGATTTGAAGTCCTTAAAACGATCCAAAAATTCATGCAACAAATTTTCTAGCTGGCCTGCAAAATCAGTCTTTTTCTCGGGATGCATTTCACAGTCCCCCAAAGTTGGAAAGTGGAAAAGATTATCTGTCTGTATGTGAGCTTTCCAGAGTCGTAATTTGTTCATAAAGCCTTTTATATGATTATACATTTCATTAGCATATTGGCTTTTTCGCTGCAGTTTTGTATTGAGTTCATTGAGGTGCGTAGTTATATCAACCAAGAATGCTAGATCGCACAACTTTGTCTTCCATTTCAGCTATTGGGTGCCCTTTGAGTTTCAAAAAATTTACGACTTCTTTCCTCAACTCGTAAAATTGTCGCAACATACAACCCCTGCTTAACCAACACACCTCGGAAAAATACACTAAATCTTGATGAGTGGTGTTAAGAGCAATCAGAAACTTTTGAAACTGGCGATGGTTGAGCCATCGTGCTCGAATGAAATTTACTGCCTTCATAACCGGGCTCAAGACGTGTTTGAATTTCAAGGATTTCGCGCACAGGTTTTGCTGGTGAATGATACAATGAAATATTGCTATATCGTCATTGATTTTTCTCTGCCTCAATGCAGACTTCAAGAGACCCACGAATCCAATGTCAGTTCCGGACATGGATCGAGCACCATCAGTTGCCATGCCGCATAAGCTGGACAAGTCCAGTCCAAACTTGTCAAAAGCATCAAATACTTCAGTAAAGATATCAGCACCAGTTGCCGTGTCCTTCATTGACTGTAATGACAGTAGCTCTTCCGTTTAGGTCTTTGTCCACTCCTTTTACAAATATGGCCAACTGTGCTGTGTCCTTCTGGTCCGTACTTTCGTCAATCGCAAAACTCCATGAAACAAAGTTCTTCACCTGATCCCTGAGTGTGTCACTAATATCACAAGCAATATCATCGATACGCCTCGCTATCGTCCACCGTGACAGACTTATTTTCTCGAACTCACCCTTAATTTTTGGGCACATTTCTTCTGCGACGTCGATAAGGCACTGCTTCACAAAATTACCGTCAGAATAGGGTTTCATAGTTTGAGGTATTCTATGTGCAATTAGGTAACTACATCGGACTGCTTTTTCACCATCGCTATGCGTTTTTTGAAACATCGAACGCTGGCTTATTAATTCTTCCTGCAATTGCTTCACTTTCAGCTTTCTGTCATTTTCTCAACTTTTCCGCGGGCCGCACAATATTCCTTTGCGGGCCGCATTTGGCCCGCGGGCCGCACTTTGCACACCCCTGGTCTAGAGCCAAGAAGCTTATGCATGGCCCTGAAATATGGCCAAATTAATGCAGACCTGGAACTTTCTCCAGATTGTGATATTTTTGTTCTAATGCGATTATATTTCGCCTTTAACCGCTTCCACTTCACAGTAACACTATTCAAGCAACTTATTTTTGTAGCGAGTGTAGAAAATTTCCTCCTAATATAAACCAGGTTAACATCGGAATTTTTCTATTTTGTTGCAAAACTTACACGTCTATATCGCAATATCCCTTCTCCACTAACATTCCTGCCACCTCCTCATTACTACTACCACATATTCTACTGCAGTGCTATCCCTTTTGTCTACTAACTTCCCCTTCTTAGCGGCATCAATGAGATCGAATGTTGCTTCAGGTGACCAATTGAACATTCTAAACAAAAATCAATAACCTTACCTTATCATATTTGCCCTGCCAATCTGTAGCTCACTGGTCCATCGAGAAAGCAATTGCTATTAATAGCAATATTATATATTTCACGCACAAAACATGGAAAAAACTAATTAAATAAACATGAAGATAGACTGAAAACATACATACAATAAAACAGAAACATGCTTGAAAACACACAACAGCAACAAAAAAACATAAACAAGTAAATAAAACAAACATGGAGATACACTGAACGCACACAACTTCACAACAGTGCCAAGTAACAAAACATATATATATAAATATATATATATAAATACGCACAACATTATAATGGTCACATGTCGTAATGTAAAGACACATTAAAAAACAAAATTCACGCATAAAAATGAAGCAGGTGGCTGTGGCAAGTCCAATGGCTCTGGAAACAATGACTATTTTTATATGATAGGTTACCGAAAAATAAAGCAAAATATTACTTTATTCAGTTATTCATCGGCATCTGGCTGTCCAGCTGCCTTGGTAGACTAAAAAAGTTAATATATAGTTTTTGTTTACTTACTTGCAAGGTATTTGCTTGTTATCCAATATTTGGGTAAAACCTCGTTTTGTACAGTACAGCAGTACCTGGTATATCAGATCAAGGATATCCTACTAATCCAACAGATGCAGAGATGTCAGTTGTTGAAGCAATCCCAACAACTACAAAAATTATATTAGTTGTCCATACAGACATGTAATACAAAAACAAGAATACAAAGCTTGAGTAATGATTTGATTACCTGTACAAAGTGATACGGTACCGACGTACCGTAATTTAAACCGTTTGCCGTATTTGTTATCATACGTTTGTAAGTTGAGGTATGGTACCAACCGTACCGTGCAGCATCGGTACCAGACACCCAGCTATATTTTACATATCGGTATCATTTCGTAGGTAATACGGTACAGTAATATAGCCTACCGGAACCAAAAATACCAAATCTTGCAACGCCAGGCCATACTGCCATATAACTAACCAACAGATGTAACACAGGCGCATCCCCGGAGAAAAAAACGAAAAATGACGCCCGAGTGTCCTGGATACTAAGACCAAGAACCGATGGAGGACTAGGACGCGCTGTGACGTCATCCTGTTGACCATATAAGGAATGTGAGTCCTACTGCGTCCTAGTAATATTGCCTATGGAAACACACTTAAAGTCACAGGGGCCGAGGCCTCACAGGGCGTGGATCGCAAATCGAGAATACGCACCAGACGCACTCTAGGGCTAAAGAATCTGATAACCAAAGGTAAAGGTTTCACTTCGTTGTGGTTGGAAGCATCAACGGATATTGCAAAGAGCTGATCTCCGAGTTCTGACAGCATTTTTTTCTGAGCATATGGAGCAAAAACTCCTGTGACAATAGCTGTAGACTTTGCTCTGGCACTTGTGAATTTCTTAACTCAATGTCTGAATCATGAACAATTGTTTTGATGAGTTGCGTGGTGAAATCGTTTGGAACAAATGTGAGACGGTTCTATAGAACCGGCTGTATCCCACTACTGTTTCGAGGACAAAATAAGCACGCAACTCAGAAAGTAAGCACTTTTCTTAGAAATAGGCACGATGTGGTCACCTTAACTTTCTGACATATAGCTATGAAATAGGTCGGTAATATACTGGTATAGCCTACAATAGCTTAAAACCTCCTACAGTGATCAACATTCTCAATAACTGGCAACGATCATCCGCAACTCGCTTTCTTGGTCAACGGCGGAAAATGCAGGATCGTGATTAGAGACAATCACGCATTATCGCGCGCGGTACAGGTTTTGGCGTTAGCGCGAGAAAATATGCCGTATGTGATTGGTTTGATTGAAAACGAGAGAAAACTGTAGCCAATAGAAAAGCAAAAGAGATGACGTACAGTGGAATCTCATCGTTCAAGAATTCCCAGTATATTTTACAGTGTCGCAAAAACAGGAAACTGAAACATATTTTAAACTGCCATTTTCTTGTTAAAATAACAAAAAATATCAACAATATACACTGGTCCATCATCATCCGCCGTCATAACTTATTTGAGATCCAATGGATTGGTATTATTATTTTATATTATCCTCATGATACTTCGTCAAATTGTTGAGCATTAGAAGTAAAATATTATTTTGTGTTTTTTAATTGTGGATCATCAAGTTTTTGTGCCCGGTTCGAATCTCAGATAATGTAGGTCTGCGTCACCGCACACAAGCAATTTAATACCTGACTTTTAATATTTTTGGCAGTCCTAATTTTTTGATAAAAGTGTGGGTACTCCCGAAGTATGTTAACCAAGATGGCGGACAACGGAACGTAGTATATGTACCAGGTTAGGATTGGGCCATAATTTTATTTCAACTTTCCTTGTTTTAGTTCTATTACGAGTTCGGGGTTTAGCCAAGTGACTTCCGTAGTATTTGTATCTAAAATTATGTCCTAACCTGGTACACACACTATGTTCCGGTGTCCGCCATCTTGGTTCACATACTTCGGGAGTACCGAGTAAAATGTGTGTGACGCGGACCAATAGATGGCAGTAGAAAGCTGCTTTTTGTATAAATTTTCTTAATAAATTCGACAGGTGTGGAGTTTGTTAACTTTTTCCTGGTATCTCATTCGTGTAACAGTATTTACGGTGTTAAATGTTCCCGACAGATGCTACAAAAAGCTTCTTGTTGTCTGTGAAAATTTTGATGTTTGTTGTGCATATTCCAAAATAGAACGATCTTTATTTGAGACTCCTGAAGTATGCGCACCAAGATGTCGCACAACCTGAACCCTAACCATTGTACACAACCTGAGTTCAGCTTGTGCGCCATCTTGGTGCGCATACTTCAAGAGGTTTCTATTATTATATATCCTAAGCTTGGTGATACGTATTTTTATACTTTTTCGAGGGGCTTCGTGATTAAATATTTCAACAAGAGGCTTGCAAACGTCGAATTTTTGCTCTCAGAATTCGAATACTTGTGAGACGTGGTCGAAATATTTGTCAACTTGATTCAGTTTTTGAGTATTTTTCTTTCCGATTCAAAACTCCTAGTTTGCGATACATGATGCAAATTGGAACAATTTTTATAGATTATAAATGAGGAACTACAGATGCCAACACCTACAAAATCCACCGTAATGATTTATTAGACAATCACCAGATTGTTGTTATCCAATAATAATATGATACTTCGTGAATTTGTTGCAAAATAGTAGTTTTCATTTATCCAAGACAAGACAATTTTTGAGGGGGGGGGGGGAAGCTAATTGAAAATAAAGATATTTGTTAGATTTGATCTTTCCCCCTTTATTTTGAATGTTTACTCATTTCATCATCAAAAAGTTTTAAACGTGTTTTTTGAATGAAAAATACTGTCGTCGTACCATCTGTTATTTGTAGCTTATTGTTAGCTAGTTATTTTTGAGGTGGGGGCGATACTTGACAAATTCTAAAAAGGGGGCGCGACTTAAAAAGTTTGAGAACCACTGCTCTAATGC